GTGAATTGCGGAGGACATTACCTCCCAGAGGCGTAATAACGAACCGCGAGACCTTGAGCGAAATAATGAGAGCGAGTGGCCTTATAGCAGAGAGAAAATGCAAAGATAAAAGAGAAAGGAGGAGAGCTCCTCCAAAAAAAAAAAAGGAAAGACAAGAGACTTTAAGGGAAAGTAGAGAGAAAACAAAATTTCGCAGACAATACCAACGAGACAATACTATAAATTACTATTAAATAATATTTAATTATTTCATGTAGAAATAGGAAAACGAGATTTAGCAAGAAATCCTGATATAATTCCGCATAGAAAAATGTTTTAAGTAAATCACCAGTCCTTGAAATTTTCTACTAAACCTTTGTATCTTATGATTTATCAAACAAATTTGAAAATGTCGATTTTATAATCATATTCTACGATGTCTAGTATTCTGAAAAAAGAAAGGAACTTGTCGAAAAGCCTGCATTTCATCAGATTAAAAATTACGTATGAAAAAATATTTTCCAAAAGGATTTAATATAACAAAATGTAAAAATCGAACGATATCAAATTTCTCGATATCAAATACTCGGATCTTTAATTTTATTCTCCTTAAGGCTTATAGTACACAAAAGATTTAAGCAATAAGTAAATCAATATTTTGAATTTACTATTTATATTTTGCTTTATGGTTTTTATTGCGATTTTGTATGTGTGTGCAATGTAGCTGATTTCTTTATTGCTTATGTCTTACTGCCTTACATTTTTCTGTATGCTATATGAGTTTCATTGTTATCGTCTTATAATCTCTTCATTATTTTTGAGTTCAACGAGATTAGCTGAATTTAAGGTTCCATTGAAGAATACATAGTACTTAAATATATTCTCTAAAATTTAGCAGTATATTCTCTAAAATTTTTAATATGAATCCCATCACTCTGTGATAAAATAAGATTAAAATTGAACTACTTCTTTTCAAAGATTGACACAATTTTCACTTTTTATAGAGTGAGAGTCCCACTCCAAAGAATTTAGAAAGTACAATTCTAAAATCCTAATCCTCCTTGCAAGACCTGCAGTGGAAGAATAGATGCACTTGCTTCGTCACACCACTATATCCTTCTCTCTCGTTTCTCCGACGATTGTTTTCGTCGACGACGTCGTCGACAACGTCGTCATCGACTGAGCATGCCGTAAGAATAAGAACACGTCCGTGTGTATGCATTCGCGCAGGCATGAATTAATGTCGCGCATACCGATGTCGGGAGAGAGCGGATAACGGGTGGCCCGTGACACGTGAGTCTTCGACAACGTACGTAATATATTAACACGTGATAACGTGACCGTCGTTAAGCAATACGTTTATTTTTCCACTGTCATCTTCATACGTCCAATCGAACGAACATGAGAGGATTGGAATGGATCGAAGTTACGGTCGATGGAACTTAAGACTTGTTATCATAGTTCGATCTTATTCGTCACGATGTTGATTGCCTCAATGAAATCTTAGATTCTCTTAGTCATTAAACGTAAATATAATAATAACAATAACAGAAAGAATAAAAGATGAAATCGAAGAATAGATTTAAAATAGGGTAAGTTAATGTTTTTTTAGACTAAATTAAGTTAAAGTTAATGGCTTATAAAATTAATAAAATTAAGTTGAAAGTTGAAGGAATAAAGAATTAACTTAATAAAAAAAAAGTTAAGATTAAATTAAGTTTAAAAAAAAAATTAATTTTGAAAAAAATTATTTTTGAGATCAAAATGATCTTATTTTTCTTATTAAATGGGATTACTTTAAATAATTTCTTAGAAATATAGATTATTAGGCAAATTTAATTTTATATCTACATGTAAGTTATTTATATATATTAAAAATCATACCATAAAGTGTTTTTGTCAAAATCTTGCGAGAGAGAAAGTATATATGTTTGCATTATTTCTCTTTTTTTAACTTTTATCTAACCTTTCTTTAATTTCCGAAACGACTGTTCATGCATGTTTACGACTACATCGATTAGATATTTGTTACAAAAAATATATGTAAAAATTTAGAAAATGAGTGGATGCACTTTGTTCTACAACAATTCTTCATTCTAAATATTCTATTCTCATTTCATATTTATGTTGCTGAAATATAACGTTTGTGATACTTAAAATTAGTGTGATTCAAATATAAACGGGAATTGACAAAATCTAGCGAATCAATAAAAACTGATTATCGTATGATATGATTCTTATTATAGTCTCTCATCATAAAATCATTGAACCTTTTCTAAATTAATTCTCTAATGTTTAAGACCTTATAGAAAAAGAATATTAGCATTAAGAAAGATAGAAAAATTTTTAATTTAAAAATCAATTAAAGTTTAAAAATAACTAAAGTAAGTTAAAAATTAATGCATTTAAAATTAACTATAATTAAGTTAAAAGTTATTCACTTTTTAACTTTTAATGTTTCAACTAGTTACTACCCAACCTTGAGAATAGAATATATATTGTTGAAGAATCTTAGACTTTTTTTTTTTTCCGAATCTAATTATTGATTGAAATATATATATACATCCGTGCTTGACGGTTATTCATTATGGAGAAGAGAAAGTCACTATGGATATTTGTAGAAAAAAATAGCTATTACATTTTGTATACATATTATACGTTAATTTATCTATATATCTACATATATCTACATATATCTACATATTTCGTATACATTTGTAAATGTTTTTTCATTTCTCTTCGTTCATAACGTTCAAAAAAATCTTTATGTTACATAAATCCTGAGTATTCCCGCGTGATAAAATCTCGCAATCTGTCGATAATACCCGTAATTTGCAAATGATGCACCGAGCAGATATAATTGAGGTAGAGGCAGAGTCGTAATAAATTATTTTCTCTGTGATTCTTTCCTAAGATAATATAGAAATAGAAAACGAGAAAAAGAAAGAAGAGAGAGAGAGAGAGAGAGAGAGAGAGAGAGAGAGAGAGAGAACAAAGAAACAGTTAAAGATTTATACCAATTTTCATGAAGATTTCGAACGAAGCGTAATCGTGGTACATGATCGATGATCTGCGTGTTCTACGTTATACACGCACGCAGAAAAAGATCGAAAAAACTCGAAAATACGTCGCGACACGCACGTCCAAAAATATACACGGCTCTTTTCAGCCAACGAATTGAATCCGCCGCGCGATGTACGATATTCTCTTTTTTCTCTTCTCTTCCTCCTGACACTTCACCAAGGGAGTCACCCGCGTCTCTCTGCCCTCTCCACGTCTCCGCGCACGCTACAGATGCTCTCTATCATAATAATCGCTATTTTGGACCGGAGGGTCGGCTGCTGGTCGCGTTGTTGCGACAGATGTTCCCCTCATTCTCTACGAGCTAAAAAGCCTTCGAGTAGGGGAAGGTCGAGCTTCGAATGCCGCGCTCGAATGAGACGAATGGACAAATAGAGCTAGACACGTCTAAAAACTGTGGGATTGTTACATCGCGGGTGAGAAGAGAGAGGAAGAAAAAGAGGAAAAAACAAGACGAGAGAATGATTAAGGGAAGATGGAGCGAGAGAAAAGAGAGAAACGTTCTTGGTATATTATGATTACTGGCTATTAAATGAAAAGACGCGAGCACATCCGAGCTGCGTTCTTCTTCTCTAATGTTCTTTTCTCTGATAAAGTAACAACTTACGGTATTTAGGCGGTGAAAAGTAGACTGCGGTTTACTTTTATAATCGAACATCATTTGTTTTTGTTTAATATTTGACAATATAAGGATGAAAAATGATTTTAAAGGCCTGTATTCATAGTCGATTATTATTTGATGAATAATCATAGTTTCATAAATCTTTAATACTCCGTCAATTTTTATAAGGATAATAATCCTCAAATATTCTTTAATTCGTGAAACGATTTAGGAAATATTTGTTATTTCGATAATTTCAGATTGATAAAATTGTAGATTTTAATAATCATTATTTATTTCGATAAGCTCTGTATATAGTACGTGGAGCATTTTACGAGCATTTAATAGCACCTTTTTTTATATATATATCTTCAATCATTTATTACGTACATCATTATCCATAATAAATTATTAAGTAGGATAGATATTTTAAAAATAATTATTATATTTAATGTTAAACGAAATGTTAAAAAATCGGACATTAATTATCAAAATCTTATTTGATTTTATAAACTAATATATAATTATTTAAGTTATTAATTAAGATTAGAGAATGAATCATGTTTAATAATAACAAATTTTTCAAACACAGAGATTTGTAAAAGAAGTCTGTGAAAACCAAAATATTATGAATCTATAATTGATTATGTTCTCAATCAAAAATTAAAAATTATTTGCGATTATGAATTCCGACCTGAGTATCTATTATGGAACATGTCGTAATGAATTTCGATCGAAATTATTCCGTTTTCCTTAGAAAACACAATAGAAATCGAGAGAATAATTGAATAATTCCGATCGGAATCTATTCCGACTTGTTCCATGATAGGTGCTCGGAATGAGAACGCAGCCGAAATATGTATGAGCACAAATATATGTACATATTATCCACCATCGAGAAAGAAAAAAAGATCGCTGTTGGATTCTCTCTCAAGAGAATTTGAAATCGAAGCAACTCAAGTCTCCTTCAGATCTGGTTACGCTCCAGCTTGCAATCCAACTAATTACGATGCGCGTCGTATACTTATCATGTTGTTTTCTAGATCACAAACGAGGCATAAAGGGAGAAGAGCTTGCCTGTGACACAGATACGAAAGCCGATCAACCATACGCGCTAATAAATTGTTAATAATAGTCAATGAGACTAGCCATCAGAGATCGATATTTTAATTACTATACTTTTTCTTTTTTTTTTTTACTATATATAATCTCCACGAAGAGATAGCCATGCCTCTTTATACTGGAAGTATTCTGTGTTTATCGATATCTTTAATTATCGAAAAAAACATTGACGAATGCGATAGAAAAATTGACGTAATAAAACAACATTTCAGATAATCAGGAAGATATAATGTCGCGACAACTTATTATTATTAATATATTACTGGTACAATGACAATATAACTACATTGCTGTGCATTGTTACTCCATTCTACATTTTACGCGATACGAATATTTTTACAATTTGATATGTCATATTTAACACACTGAAAATTTTTCTAAGATACTTTCAAGTGGAAAGCAGCCAACGCTCTCATGCAGATCTTCTGCCTCGTCATATGGCCGTCCCGTGATTCTCGTAAAACTCAGAGGTAAATTTTCTCCGACGGTTAATTTAACTCTCAACAAAATTTACGATCACATCAATCCAGGTTTTTTTTCCTTTCCTCATAGAGTGGGAAGTTGCGGGTGGATTCCCTCGATGATGCGGAAATTTCTTAAGGCTTCGCGTGAAGGCAAAAAAACGTCTAGCAAAGTCTTCGTAATACGTTGCTTTACGGGAGGCCCCACAATTGTGCAATCCAATCGCTATGTTGTTATGACGATGATGATACAAGGCCAAACGTCCTAAATCGCACAACACCTGCTTATAAGGTCACTGTGCTCTCGAGAGATATTATCGAACCGTTTGTGATTATTTTTAGCTGATGCGTCGTATTTGTGTCATACATAATAGGTATTATGTCATGCTTTATTATATATATTAAAATTTATCACGCGCGTTCTAAAAACTATTATACCTCAAATCATCAAATTATCAAATTATATATTGCAATTATATATTTTTAACTGTAAAGATAGATCATTGTTTAAAATTATATAACTTTGATATAAAGTATACTTCTAATTATAATTGCTATTTCTACTATGTGTAATATCTTCTGGCTTTCACTCGTTTCTCCATTCTAGAGTGTTGTGTTGATTACATAGTAAATATGAGTAATGGGAATAGCGCAAGAGAAGTGGTAATTAACCGAGAGAAACCAATGCATAAAATAGACTGTATTATAATATACTTTGAACATTGAAAATGTCTTAATGTTTCCGATTCTTTTGACCTTTATTTCTTTTTCTGCCATTTTTTTGGCGTTTTTTCTCCAGAAGTTTGCGTGCTTTCAAGACTTGTTCGGGTCGCTTCAGCTCGTTCTTTATTTTAATCTTGTCTTTAAGCTTCTGATTGTGCCGCGCCCAATGCGTATTTGCAGTAGTTCGTACTGAAACAAGTAAATAAAGTATGTCAATTATTTTAATGAGCGATATTTAGAACAAATTGAATGTACGGAAAGAAAAATTTATAATAAAAGAAATATTTTGAGATTTATCAATTAAATATATGTATGTTGTTTAGATTAATTAGATTTAAATTTAATATATTTTTACAATTAATGCGATCATGTTAACTCACAATTTTTCGATTGTAAAGGTTCTTCCTCGCTATCATCTGCGCTATCGTTTTCATCGATTTTACTCTTCTCCTTCCACACATTATAACGATTTGTTTTATATGTAGCAGGTATCCATACTCCCGATTCAGTGCGTATTTTTTTCGCCTTCGGGTCCTGTTGATACAATGTAGAACATATGTATATTCATGTTTTATAAATAGAGACGATGTATAAGTTAATGTATATACCCTCTCGACGGTGACCATCTTCTTCCTTTTCCTATCCCACTTTTTCAATTGCGTTTGAAGATGTTGACTATCTTCATTATCTGCTGTTAAATCCATTTGCGCCTTATCGGTTTCAGTGGCAAACGTGTTAACTGCTAAACTGTAAGCCAAATAAACGTAA